ATTTACAAAATGGCGTAGAAGTACACAGTGACTCAATTTTAATACTTTATACGAATTCAATATTTTTATAACTTTAAATCGAATTTTGTTTTTTATTTACAGAATGCCACGGAAAAAAACCGACAGAAATATAGGGAAGAAATAAATAACGAAGAGATTGAGATGACTTAAGATCTTATAGGTAGCAATAAAAGTACTAAGAGTCGTGTTGAATTGTTGATTATAATAAGAATAGCTTGTGCAGTTTAGTTATTATTTCTAATAAAAAACTACGCGGAATGGGCATTTTCTTTTCATATAAATACTGCCGTACCACGTTAATACTGTGTACCACGGTAGTGAGTCAGTGTGTACACCTAGTAGTCCACAGTGGCTCAATTATCATTTTTTTGTTTTAGGTTCCTACTTTGACATAAGTAGTAAATAATGTAGAATCATGAGTGCTCAGTTACAGTTCAATAGTGTATCTAAAATGTGAGCAAATTTTAGGCCAATATTAAAGCGATATCTATTTTTATTAAGCTTCGAAAAAAAAGTGAGTCACTGTTGCCTCCCTGACCCTATGTTATTCGTGCTCTTCAGTGCGTCTTCATTGAGAGACCACAATATCTCACCATAGATTTGGGGCGGTCTACAAAGTCAAGGCATGCCAGCCTTATTATTTTTCATTCCATAACTTTTTTCGAATACAAACCTATGTTACTGTTGCATTACTGTTGTGCCCTAGATTAGTTTGTAACGGTTAGCGTTACTCCGGTTCCAACGTCGTTTATGTGGCCAGTTATTCCATTTCCCAAAACATCCGCTAGCCCTATCAGATTATTAAATCATTCTCTACTATTAAATCACTCATTCAAATTGAATCAACTCACCATCCGTTGTAAGCGAAGAGTCCAGAGTAGAACGAGAGGGCTATAGCCGTGACGTCACTGGTCGTGCCTTCAAATGAAAAGTGTTCCACCTTTCCTGAAAGAAAAGAGAAACATTTAAATAGGTATTACTGATGCGCTGTCCTTTGAACCCCTACAAAGAAACCTAAAGGTCTTTCAACATATTGAAATTTGACAGTTATTGAAGGACGGATTTGACGAAAGATTGATTATAAAGTAAACATCAGTATGTGACTCGTCAGAAGACTTAGAAGCAGACACGACGACACAACAGTCTTAGTCCATGTTTTGTAGTCCATGGGCCAGCCAAAATGTCGGTATAATTTGGGATACTAAATACAGTGTGGTCACTCTAGCCTGTCTTATTTTGTGCGGTGTCTCCTTTCGCGGGCGGATTGCGGCAATCATCTAATAACGGGTCGCCGACGACTTCCGATGACGGCAATATACGCCACGCCATCTTTAAACCAATTTAGGGTTTGATCCTCCTCTGTTGTCTAGTGGGCAGATTTGGGAAAGAGATATTCTTAACGCAGTAAGCTAACGCATTCTTCACAGAATCACAAGCTAGTAGCAGACCAAGCCGGACATAAGTAGGTACTAAAGAATCCAGTATTCTAAAAACGCTTCCCCTTTTCCAAATCTCAAAAAAAAAATTTTTTCCCGTTTATTCCCGATCTCGACAGAAAAACGCTTCATAATAAATTTATCGATCATCTCAACAAGCAGCCTTAATAATTACTCAACTCTCCAAATACAGGCTGTACAATATTAAAAGTTATTACAGTTATTAAAACTGGATAGATCATATTTTACTAACAACAATAACAAACAGTGAACGAGTAGTGTCCTACCTTCTCCTAAAATCGCAAATACAAATGAAACTTAAATTATTTAACTTTCATGAAATTAAAGTCTGAGCAGAAGCTTACATTTTTGTCGCAAAACAGCACCTCTGAGATTTCACAGTGTTAAGCTTGATGGTCGTCTGCTTTTGTTGTTGTTTTTTTGTTTAAATATGTACTAAGTTATTTTATCTCTTCCTTACTAAATGTCGATATTGAATGTCAGCATCTGATAACGCTGATCAAATAGGTATACTCGTATAGGTAATTGGACAATTTTACCCTGTGTAGAGGCAATTCGCGCGCAAATTGAGTTGTCCGCCTCCCAGCGTTTATGGAGTCTGCTCGTGACAGCCTAACGAGGAAATGTTGAGACGGTTTTGTACTTTATTCGACGAGCGATCTTCTTGAGAAATCAGTTGATCAATAAATATACACACCTAAAGTTAATTTACGATTTGAGACAAAACTTTAGGAGCTTTCAAAGCTTTCATTATAGGTACCTTTATTGTCAGGTGACGCCGCTGAAGTCACTATTTTTGGAGTTAGACAGGATTGATATGGACTTCGTACGTTGATTTTCCATTAGTCGGTGAAGGTTAAAAGCTAAAACTTGATAACAGGTAAGATAACAAACATAGGTTATTGTCCAAAGTTGACGTCTTGATCGAAATCAGTTGCTGACTCGGATTAAGTGCTTTTGACTCGGGAATGGCCCACCGTAGCAACTCCTTGTATAGCCAGGACCTACTAGTTAATGGTACCCAACGAGTTCTGGAGATGTCTTCAACTATTTTGGAAAAGGCATAATTCATCTTCTGATTATGTGTATAAATAGTAGTCAAGCTAGCACTACATAACGACAATGTATTAAATTATTTTATGACATCAAAGATGACATTGGGAACTCTAGAGTTAGGTATCATAGAACAGTCAGACGAAAGACAATTGGCAGGGGACAATCTTATAATATTAACAAAGTGATGACCAAAATTGCCGTCTAAAATTGAAGCATGGCAATTTTATTTGCCATCCGCTTCAAGATGAAGAGTGAGATTTTTATATACTTACTAGCTGACCCGGCGAACTTCGTACCGCCTTAGCGTAGAGATTTTCTTAATATTTTTTTCCGTAAGAACCATCCTTGGACTTCCACAAACATTAAAAAAAAAGAATTATCGAAATCGGTTCAGCCGTTCACACGTGATGCCGTGACAACGCGAAACGGGTTTCATTTTTATATATATAGAAGTATTACAGCTAGTTTTTTCTCGTGAATTTAACTGTATGACATGTGACGTTTTTATGGTCCTAAATCTTAAATAACAAATAGCCTACCATTTATTGTATTGTATCTACATATTATGAAATAAATTATTTATTATTTATTTATTTATGGTCACACATGTAATCGCTAGCTCTGCAAACTACCACAAATTGACTTTCCTTTAAAGCAAAACTAACCTTAGTTCAAAATTCATTAGAGTCAATTGGATTTTAGTTAATCGTCAGCTTGTGGTGACGCAGTACTTTCGTCATTAAAGCTATAGTAGGTATAGTTATAATCACCTGTGCAATCAATAATAACGACGTGTCTGAAACTGAAGGCCGCCGAAACTGGGTCGCTAAACAATAGGATTATCTTTATTTTACCAGTTTGAACTAGTTTTAAAAGTTCAAACAATAGCAGGTTCAGAACAAAATAAATAGTGATTGTGTCTTTAAAGTTACGTACGAACATTACATAAAATATTGAGTAAATAATAGTAATACACACACAGACTTTCCAAATAATTCCAGTTTGATATTCGGTACAGATGCCTACATTATGTTTTATTTAACGTCTCGACAAATGCAAGACGCCAGTTCGAAGGACCATCGACCTTAAAGAATCTAGCTGGCATAGTCTGGATGAAAAAAGCGAGAATCATGCTCATTGGCGCTTCTTAGGACGGCTTATGACTACAATAGCACTGGACTACAATGTTGATGAATCATCCACATCATCATTTCAGCCGTAATACGTCCAGTGCTGAAAATTAACCTCTCCCAATTTCCTGATTGGCCAGCTGGAAGCAGGCCGTACCCAGCGCCTTCCTGCCACCTTTATGAAGTGATGTGTTCACCCGGGGCCGTCTTTAACCTACTAGGAGTTCTGGACACTTAAGGATCAAGGGGGACCCTTCATCATCATTTCAGCCATAGGACGTCCACTGCTGAACATAGGCCTCCCCAATTATTTCCACAATGGGGACAAAAGGGGGACCCTTACCATCTGGAAAAAGGCCTTTCGAGCAGATTAGGGCACCCTCGGTCGCGGGGTCCTGGGCATGTGCCCAAAGTGCCCAGTGGGAAAGAAGGGCCTGTGTCCACCTTGTGGGTGGATATAGATTACAAATACCGACCATTTTGACTTCTGCCCAGCCTGCTTTGCAACGGAAGGCAGTCGAACGTTAACTTCGAACTGCTCCTATGTTCTTGTGATTAATTTCGTTGCGGGTCTCATGACAGTTGAACTTTCCCCGGGACAAACTTGACCTTCACTGGTTGGGTTTTTATTGGTGGTCAAACTGTAAGTAGATCCTGGTTACACAACAACAGGAACGAGAGGTGGGAATAGTCCCGTTTTCTGCATCCTGGTACACCTATAAACGTGTAGCTATTTCACTACCTGAAGAGACCACTCACCTCTGCACAGCTGGTAGATTCCCGCCGCGATGATGACGAAGAGAGCCAGCAGTTTGGCGTACGTAAACCAGTCCTGAACCCTCGTCGCCGCGCGCACCGACCAGCAATTGACAAATGTCAGCAATACTGCGGGAGGTAAAGGCAATTTTTAAAAGATGATTGTAAGTTTCAGTTAATTGTGTTATTGTGCTATTAACTATTGCTTTATGGTGTCAACTACATATTAGGTGGTACCGTGGTTGCTACACATGCTACTGCTAATGTAACTAATGACATGAAAGATATTATTCTAAATTAAATTCCTTCTTAATTTTACTTTTTTGTAAGTAAGCAATAAAAAAGATGAGTCAGATGCCGATAGTTCAGCACTTTCACGTCAATTATCGCCTTAACAGAAATTAACGAGACTAGATTTTTTATTGAATTTTTCGATTTACCAACATCTGTTTAATTATTAGTTTTACATAATACACATATAAAATTTTAAATTCTATTTAGACTGTGAGCCATTGAGTGACGGTCCTTCGTAAAAAAACTGACATTTTGATGCTCTTTAGATGTCACATTCTTCGAAAAAGATGGGCTCTTTGTTTCGCTAATGTTTTCAGAGAGGGAATTACCAAAGACTGGAATGATGATGGTGATACGATACATTAGTTGAAGTGACTCACATATACAGCAAGCGGCCAGCAGTCGGGTGGCGTCCTCCGGAGGGTCGCACTCTGGGAATATCGGCTTCAGCACGTACACGCTGAATGTCAGCGCTACGATGGCCTGAGGAAAAACAATATTTATTTAGTTATTTGCTCGGGAAGTAATGTTGGAGACGTTGGAGTCGTCATAATCTTATTCATCTGAGAATCGCTAACATTATTATATCAGTCCGTAGATAAGGTAAAATACCTAGCAATACCACAATTTATGGAATTGATAGTTTATTATTATAAGCCTGTCGATAGCAACACGTTGGGCGCCAATTTTGAATTATCAATTTTCTTAGAAAATATTCGATGTAGGTACCTACATGAAGTATAAATAGAAATCCTATTTGAACATAATGATTCATATTTCTCAGTATAGTTCAAATATAAAACCTTTACATATTCATAATATTAATAACACCACGTTGGACGCCAGCCAGTCGTTAAGTGTCTGTGGGAGTAACAAATTGAGAAAAACGGGACTTAAACGAGATTTTTATGTTCATTACTAAGTAGGTACCTTACATGAATTCACAGATTGACGTTTCGGCTGTGTTGCTAAGCATTGTCACAAATTTTAAACATTACAAATATTTATTACTTAAGCAACTTTAACCAATAGCAATTTAAGCCACGTTACACTGGGCATTGGGATGAACAGGATTTCAGAAAAAAAGGTTTATTGTTTGCTGAGGAATTGTAAACGTCCCAGGATTGGACCTAACGCCAGCGTCAATAAAACTCTATTGCTCGATAAAACCTAATACAAATAGGTGTAAATTCAATTCCAGCTGAGCAAATCCCCTGCCATGTTGGGCGCCAATATTGTCCATTTGATTGACTAACAAGCAGTGGGCTCGTTTTCTATGCAACTATGACAAGCTACGCAAAATACTTTGCATCAAAACTCAGACAAAGGGATGGAGTGTTGAACTCTTAATTTAAAACTATCCTTTTCATAAAAAAAGTCTTGATTTTTAGATTAATCTGCCGTTACAGCTTATAAAATTTGCTTTACTGTCTTGTTATGTATAGAATTTAACAAAAGCCATACTCTATTAGTGCAATTTTGTTCACCTAAAGTTATAATTTAACTGAATCAAAATGCTGTCTAGTTGTAATAAAATACAAGCGGTTGCAATCCTACTGTGTCCTAGTTACATTATGTTCATGAAACACCCACAGGGCGAACTGTTATTTTCTCGTAACTGAGTTTGCGTCTTTCATTGAACAAGAATAAATTCTTTAACAGGACCAAAGACAAGACATAAAAAGTATTGAAGAAAATCTCTTCTTCATAGAAAACCTTTTTCAAGAATAAATACATAATGGGTTGGTTTTAAAAGGATATTTTGACTGCTGATAAAATTGGGTCTTAAAGATACAGTTCCAGAAAATGTATAATCAGCTTTTCCAGTAAAATCGTCCTAAAATATAACTTTTTAAGGCACCTTTCTTTTTCGTTGAAGTTAATATAAAGACTGATTGATGCTATATAAAAATAGTTAAGCAGGTACCAGAGCTTCTTTATGTAAAAAATAAGCTAGTCAGTCTGTCTTATTCAAAGGAATATAAAGCATTTTCTTAAGCCTTCGTCAATATTTACTTTGACGTCAATGAAATTTGCGTAGGACATCAACGCCTACATAGAATTCGCAAACATGGCGATAATGTAGCCATTTTTGTCTGAGACCGGCTAAATATAGACTAGGCTGAAAATGGGCGTTACAGATAATCCAATTATTTAACCTCATCCATCGTGTGGTAGTAATAACCCTGCTTTAGAAATCCAAGCTTCTTTTAATCATAGGTGCCTACGAATAATAATAAAAGCTACCGTCTATCGTCACCTAACTTTAGCCTTAACTATAACGATAAACGGTGCTCTTTGTATAGAATTTGACAGACTTTTGACATTTTTTATAGTTAAACTATATAAGATGGTGTTCGTTTAATCATCATCATCATTTCAGCTACAGGACGTCCACTGCTGAACATAGGTTATAGGCCTCTCCCAATGATTTCCACATCGCCCGGTACTTAGCGGCCTGCATCTAGCGCCATCCTGCTACCTTGTAGGTAGACATCCCACCGTCCAGAACTCTGCTTGCATTATGCCATGAAATGGTAGCTAGAGTAAAACATGTAAAGGTCCCTTGGGGACTGGCTGGGCCTTGTTAAGTATTTATTTTGACGTTTTTAGGAGTTTTTTTTTATATTCACGAATAAGTAGGTAGGGTATAGCTAGTTAGTAGGTTAGGGACTACGTACCAAAGGTACTTTCCAAATTCAGTTGATATAATGTTTCCAGTTTTGATAGGTAGATTTATTGGGACAATAAAACTCTCCCTCCACAGTAGGCACACCACCTACTAAGATACTGTATGGAACTGGGTAGCTTATGTAATGATAGAAGCAAATCAATACGGATTACGTATGAATTACGAAACGCGTTCGATTGTAGACTTTATCGCACTAATAGACTGGGCGGGTTACTTATGTGTGTCATAAAAGTACTTAATTCATTTTCTGCAGAAATGCTTTTAAAAAGCGCTTAATTTTACACGTCCCAGTATTACTTTAACCCAACCACTGGTTCTAGACAATAAATGGGTCATAAATCATGATGAAAGGATTGGTGTTGAAAAGAGCCAGCAGTTTGGCGTAAGTATACTTACCCCAAAAGTAACCATTATAGCCCACAAAATTGACAAACTTAAGTGGTAATGGGCGGGGCAAATAACTCTTAGAACTACCACCGTTGGGGCAGAAAGTTCCTGAGTGGCGACCACGGCCTGGAAGACGTAGTATCTATAGGCAAACTGAGAGATTAGATAGACCGACGTTCTGCAACGCTCCTGCCCGTTGTGAAAATCCTTGGGAGAGGCCGATTTCCAGCAGTTCTTTTAGCTTCATTTGGCTGAACGAAGGAGTTTTAATAAAGCACTTTTACACCCTTTAGATGTACCTACCTGAGAGCAAGGCCGCACGATCATGCACTCAATCCAGAGCCGGATGAAGGCGGCGAAGGGCCCGAAGGTCTCCATGATGTATGCGTAGTCAGCACCGCTCTGTCGGATCATGGTGCCCAGTTCCGCATAGCAGTAGGCGCCTACCTGTCGAGAAAGAATAAGGTTAGTTCAAACATCATCATTATCATCGTCATCATTGTCATCGTCGTCATCATCATCGCCATTGTCAGGGTATCTACGCCCGTATTCACAAACATTACGATGAGGTCTCACAGTGCGCGTGGAGGCACAGGGTGACACATGAACCAATCACAGAGCTCTGTTCAACCCTGTGCGTTCGATTTGCTGCTTCACTTAAGCAAGCATCGTTTGTGAATACAGGCGTTAGTCTCCACTGCAAGAGGACGACTCTCTCCATCATCATCATCATGTCTATTAGTGTCGAATAGGAGGCCGACCCTCTGTTATTTATCAGAAGCAAAAGGAGGACTTTGCCTACACTCCCTAAGTTGGCTAGATGGGTTGAAGAGTCCTAATTTTATCATATTGTTCCCTTAGTCGCCTCTTACGACATCCACGGGAAGAGTGGGTGGTGAAGGTGGCACTATTCTACTCAGCTGGAACCACACAGTCACAAGGAAACAATAGGCGAAAAAAACCCCAATAATAGTACATTTGTGCAAGTTTGACTTCTGTAAACTTTGTTTTGGACTATTTTGTGACACTAGGCTTCGCTCGCTCCGCAAAGCGAAATTGGACCTGTCACGAATATTAATGTTTAAAAAAAGCCATTTCACCTTTGAAGATTTAAACAACAACACTAAATAAAACTTCCTAAATCATTATAAATCGATCATAAGGTCATGAGCGTGTGTCAATAACACATGTTCGCGATAACACATTATCACTAAACATTAATAATTATAGTAACGAGATTAATTTTATACTAAAAGGGCATTCCGGTGTCAAGGGCAACACGCAAAATTTTATTGTAATTTACTTGATAACGAAAAGGGAGTTGAAGATTTGAAAGACTGACCTTGAAGAAAAATGAAGAAAGAGGTAGGTACAATAAGACACATGACCTCCAGGCAGACGAGATTAAAAATAAATTTCACACCAAGAAGACCGGAACATAGTACTTAACTACTGTTGCACCTTACCTCTACCTAATTTCAAATTTGCACTAAAGGGAAGTAGAACCTTAACTTCGAATTCCTCCTTCATTCGATTTCGATTCGATTAATTTCGTTGCGGATCCAATGACAGTTTAATTCCCCCGGGACAAACTTGACCTTCACTGGTTGGGTTTTTATTGGCGGTCAAGTTGTAGATCTTGGCTACACAGAAGTTGCAGCAGTGGGAATGAGAGGTGGGAATAGTCCCGTTACCAGTAGCAAACCAGCAAGACTTTCATAGTACAAAATTATGACTTTAGCAAATAAAAACCTGCCGGTCAAACTGAGAAGCGCATTTTTTAAGTCGGTTAAAAATAAACAGTAAAACATGCTTTATCCCTGTCGGATGAAAGCTTATTATAATTATTTCTTCCAGCTCATTTTTTCATGTTTCAGGGACTTGTCAGCACAAAATAATAAGTCTCTGGGGTAAAACAAGAGGCTTAAAGACTTCATTCCAGAATTTTGATGAACGTTTCTTTTAAAATACTGTTCAATTTATAAGATTTCTCTAGAGAGACTAAAGATTTATTTCAAGAGAAATCGTCGTCATTTGTATGTATTTGCTTGCAGACAGTAGATAATAATATTTTTAATGTTTTGGTAAAACAAACAAAGCGGTCAATGGACTTTAAATAGGTCACATTATGCATAATTACGTCCAGTTAGTTTAATAACAGACCGAAATTATGACAAAAGTTTGTTAACGACCATGTTTGGTGGATCTTTGAAGAAAAGGTAGACATCGTTTTATTTTAGTTAAAGGGGCTTAAAAACATCTGTTAGATTTCACATCAAAATTGTATCTTAGTTTAAGGGGCTTACATTCGTTTTAGATCGAATTTATGTAGAGTTCTGTAATTTTTATGTCGGCAGTTTGGTAGAGTTTTATTAACTCTGTAAAATTATATGTTTCAATTCTCTAAGTGTTTTTTTACGTTTAGCTCATTGCATTTAAGTAAATTCCAGTTTATACTGTAAAAGCTTAGTATTTTCACAGCCAAGTACACATTATCAGATTATTGTTTGTTGTTAAAAGTACTCAAAAACTGTTTCCCCAATAAAAACTTACCATACTAAAAACCCCCGACGCAATCCACACCAGCAAACTGGCGTTAACAGAGCCAGTGTTTTTGAGCACTCCAGTTGGCGACACGAATATCCCACTGCCAATGATGGAGCCCACGATGACAGTGATCCCGTTGAGCAGGGACATCTTGGCCTCCAGGGCTCCACCCTCCTTTGATTCTTCCCCATCTGGCTCTGACTTCAGGGCTTCGCTCTCGCAGTCCTCTTCGGTGCTTTTACTTTTTGGATGCCTGTGGACAATGAAAATGTGGAGATGATTTTTCAGTAGCAATAGGTTTCAGCTCTTAGAGACGATCCAGTTTTCATAACCACGACTGCATGTGGATAGAATGTAAACTAAACCTATCTAACTAGATTTGAAACGCGCGAGTAAAACCGTGTAATCTGGACAAGCTCTTAGTTTCAGTAATTCTGAGTGGGTACCTACAAAGATTTTAATCTAAATGTAAGTATATAAGTGCCTTATGTATCGATTAATATCACAAGCAAATGGATCAAGCTTTACTCGCGCTGCGTTAATCATAAGTCTTTGATTCAATTCGACCGTAGACTATGAGAAGAAAAGTTATTAAATATTTAAGTAGGATTTAAACTGATAATAAATAAACGGCATATTAATATGGCTTTCAACCTGATAAAGTAAAAAAATCTATAGTGCGATAATCAGATATGAAATCGCGTGCATTCAGAGCGGTTGCTGCGGGCTAGATAGGTAGAATTACCTACTCGTACATTCACAATCTTATTACAAGAAAATTACACAAACAAAATATGGCAAATATAAACAAATACGATCGTTGTGGTATCCTAAAGTACAGTCGCGGAATGAAAAGGTTCGTCACCTTAGTGTCGGTTTTCGCTTGCACTAGGTACTGTAAGAGTCAAACCTGCCAACAGAACAGTGCAAGAAACAGTGCTGCTAACATTTAAATAAATATGACGTTTGCTAACGAATAAGGTTTTGCTTGTTTATTTTTCTATCCCATCAGTGCAATGCAATGATGACATTGACCAATTGACAAGTTTTTTTTATTTAAAAGAAATAATAATGGCAGGTTGAACCAAAAAGAAGGTTTTAGTTAATCAATCATAATCTTCTTGACAAGATAAATCGTCAAACAACTTTGATCTGAATAATTTTGAACTTTACTGACGAACAGTTAAAGATTATTTTCTCTAACTCGAGATTATTCTGTAACATAGTTTCAAAAGGTAATATGTGCTCGCGATTCGTTGAAGGAATCAATTTGAAAACTGACGAACCTTTTCATTCCGTGACTGTACATAATTTTCAGTCCTAAAATAAATTAGTGGAACATTGTGAAGGGAAAACATTCGCCTCTTGATACTGACGCAATAACGCTGTTCCTAGAATAATCTAACATAACGTCTAATAAATGAAAGTGAAAAGAACTAATATAATAACAATAACCTTCTGTAGTTGTTCAGGCGCCCTCGCAGCACGCCCGGCGCGGCTGATGCAATCTTACCGACCATTTTACTATTAGATTGGTATTGTATCTAAAGTGCCTAAAATACAGGAACAAATAATCCAAATTTCCAACTCGTTTTCAGAGAAAAATCAAAATCAAAAATATTTATTCAGTTTAGACCACAAGTGGCACTTATGATGTCTGCCATATCGATTTCTTTACCAGACTACAACTGTTAAGTAACATTTCAAGATTAGGCAGGCTGCGTTGTTGACACAGTAAAACAATTACTACATTTTGAATTAAGTAGGCCTCCAACTTGTCGTGGTCTTTCGTATTATGACACACTAACTTACACCCGTATTCACAAACGATGCTTGCTTAAGTGAAGCAGCAAATCGAACGCACAGGGTTGAATAGAGCTCTGTGATTGGTTCATATGTCACCCTGTGCCTCCACGCGCACTGTGAGACCTCATAGTAATGTTTTGGGTGTTAAAGTAGATACACAGTGTCGTTGAGCCATGCTAGGTCGCATTGACAATGGCATATGATTTGTCCAATGACACTATCAAAATGCTTAAATGCTACAACCACATCAACGCGTGCAGATCGCCATAATACTTATCGCCGGTGCAATCATAGGCCAATGACAGGTCGCGCGGGCGCGGACTGTCATGGGTCGCGCCTAGGATGCGCACCGCGATAAGCTTTTATCGATTTAAGGCGATTAGAGTCCTCAATCCGCGTCAAATGGGCATTTTGTAAAGCCTACTCCTCTTTTACTGCTGGACAGAAGTAGTTGAAAAAAATATATGTTATACAACAGTTTAAGGACTACATTTGTGACGTTTGAATTTTCGCTACGTCTCTTTTTGGATTAAAAAAATAAATACGGGACATCGATTTTTTACTTAAATTCCCTACTCCTCCCAAACGGCTATGTTAATTTAAAAGATTTTTGCACGAATAGATTAGGAATTCTTTAATATTTAAATGACACGTCCATACATTTGTTATTTAAAATCATCGATAAAATTATATCACGGCGCGTATCCTGGCCCGGCAGGTCGTGGCTTTCATAAAATAGACCACAAGACCACAACGCGTTGTAGTAATTAGGAAATTAAAATTTTCTTAAATAATAACTTCAACTGAATCAAGCTGATTTGGATTATTTGACTTGTTTAAGTATGAAATTTGCATCGACACTGTTTTAAAGATAATTATCCCCACTGTTCACTACTTTAGGCTACAGAACCATGCACTTATCACTGCCCACTTGGCGACACTAGCACTAAAAATAGGACGTATTGAATTGAACAAACTATTTGACTATTATAATCTCGGTTCGGTCTCAAGCAACTCCGCTCGTGAGCGATACTGAGAAGTGGATGAATGGGCGCTAAGTGGGCTTTCCGCCTTACATATTCTATACTAAAGTATAGTATAGTTGCTAAGATGTGCACAACAATAGGGGCCGATAATTTTAAAAGATTCGTTTCGTATTTAGAAAGAGTTTTAAAGTTACATTAAGGCACCATGTTACTTTAACTTTGACAAACGTCAAAAATCTGTCAAACTCCATGAAAAAAGCACCGGTTATTGTTATTGTTACGGTTAAAATAAGGTGGTGCAACTCAGCATAGACCCTTCCTACCTAAATCTTAAAGTTAGTCCTTTAAGATATACCTATACCTATTTTGAAGGTAGGAGAAGCATGTCAATAAATTCGCTCCTAAAAATTTGGATACTGATAAGAAAATCAGCCTGTATTTATAAGGAACATGAGACCTCTAACGCACAATAAAATAAAGTGCCCATCTTCATACTTGAGTCAAATTTTTCTTCATTGCTTAATGCTTACCTATTAGAGTAGGCGCAAACCGTTGATTTTTCGTCGGCCGATAGTTTAGTCGGGCAGTTGATCAGTATGGGCATGTATGGGAGTGCGCACACTACGCCGATTCGATTTGGCCGATTCTTCATACAATTTAAAATCGGGCACAACTATCGGCCAACTAAAAATCAACGGTGTGCGCCTACTATCAATTTATTTTCTCGTGAGCTACGTCTATGCTACGGCGTAGCACTTCCGTAGCTTCCTGCTACGGAAATAGCGCTACGAACCGCTACGAGATTGCGTACTACGTCTTATATTATTGTCGCCCTTTTCTTGAAATTACAGAAAAATACGGTTCTTTAAACAGTCAATTTATTGTTTTTGTTTTAGATGATTAAATAATAAGTGTCTGTTGAACCTTTGTAAGTGTGTGGTTTAAAATTATTGCCATATTATATCGATAAAAATTAAAAATGCAGATGACCCAACTAAAGCGATAAAGGAAGCGATCACAATTTCGATTCAAAGCTACATATACATTATCTAGACTCAGTTGAATATCTACATTATACTTGCCAGTACCTAAAACTATAGGTATGCTACAAGGTACGCAGCTGGATTCAATTACCTAATCAACTTTGAATAGTCGTCCACGCCTCAAATAAAAGGGCCATGAGAAAAGAACATCGTGCAAACTCCCAGCGCCTTTGTAGAAAGCGCGTTGTGCGAACGCTTTGAACGGGTCAAATGGGGTCTCCCAAGGACGTCTGGTCGGCCCGCTGTTGTATATTGTATTTAAAAGGTTTTGAAGTTTCTGAATATTAGAGAAGGTATCATTATCTTGGAGTAATTTTTGAAGGAGCTTAGTTTATTTTCGTAACTTTAAGTTGTAACTAGGGATTGAAACTTGTTGGCTACCGATGTTTTCCACGAACAATATCAATAATTTATAGTCTAAAAACATAAGTTATTTTAAGTATAATGTATAAGGCCAGAATCATTAAAAGTTAAGTAGCAAAGAGACATTGTTTCATGTTTATTAGTCGTGATTTATCTCTAGTTTTATAGTTCTGCTGTTATCATGAAGTTACATAACACGTGTTATGTCAATTATACAGTGTGACCTACTTCTAATCAATTGCTAATTAAAACTATGTTCTTCAAATAAGATCAACATATCAAATTTTGGTAGGGTTGCCTATTTGTATTAATAAATGATTTTATTCGCTTTTTTTTTAGTGGCAACCCTCTCTGGGAGGTTTATTTCTGCCAATGTCGAGTGAAAAATAATTGACATAGTTATCAATAGAACGTGGGTGTTTCAGTTCTATTGATTTTTCCTGGATTCCGTGGAGTTAAGTTTTTTATGAGTTTTGCATTATTTTGAAAGCGCCCCGACACACATTTTTCCGGTTTGTTTGACCATTATTTATTTACTTAATTATCCTTCCTGATAAATAAAATAATTATACAGTTTATTAACAGTGAGTGTTCCGTGATAATTGCTATCAGTGTCGAAGGTCAGTAGAGTGGATGTTTAGTATGTCAATGCACTTTAGTTATTCTACATTTATAGCTTTGTCCGCTATTTTTTTTTAAATAATAGGAATACTAGCTTTCCGCCCGCGGCTTCGCCCGCGTGGAATTTTGTCTGTCACAGTAAAACTTCATCTCGCGCGGTTTAAAAAACCGGGATAAAAACTATCCTATGTCCTTTCCTGGGACTCAAACTATCTCTATGCCAAATTTCATCAAAATCGGTTCAGTGGTTTAGGCGTGAAAGCAAGACAGACAGAGTTACTTTCGCATTTATAATATTAGTATAGATTTTATGTAATAAAAATCTAAATAGGTAAAGTACCTAATGTTCCGTTTATGTTACAGTAAAAACAAAAATTATTGAGTCCGGGTCATAAATGATGAGTCCAAACCACAGATCACAGAAACTAAAGGGA